TTCATCTCGACAAGGCCGAGGAAACCTATTTGCCATCCCAAACCTTGACCGCCCCAAATTCCTGAAACCACTGGAAATGACTCAGCAGAGATCCCCCAGGGAGTGGGGCCCTGCTGAGCCTTCATTCTTTCCTGCTAACCTACACCCCACCTCCTCCAACTCTCCCTGTTCCAGAAGGTCCTGCTAGCCCATCCCCCTCCTTCGTTACCGAGCGAGAAACCGAAGCCCCAGCGATGAAAAAGTCTTACTCCAGGTCACAGAAGGAGTTTGCATCCAATTCCTAAAATGTAGCCGCTCAGAGAGCAGGCCCTGGGGTGAGACAGACCTGGGTGTGAATTCTCCTGTGCATCTGACCAGCGGGACCTGCCCGAGTCTCAGTTTCTCCATCTGGAAAATGGGCTCGGAGGAATGCCTAGTGCCCAGGGGAATCCAATCGCGTAATCAGTGCAGAGAGCCGAGCACGTGTCTGTGTCTGACACCCAACGTCTGCTTGGTAAGTGTGGGTGTGGCTGACGTCCTGAGGGTCCCCGGAAGTTACACGAAGACAGAGCAAAGTGGCCCAGTCCCCGGGGTGTTGTCCTGTACACCAGAAGGTCCCAGGTTCAATTTCCGGTCAGGGCACGGGACCAGGTTGCGAGTTTGAGGCAACCCAATCGATGGTTCTCTCTCACATCAATGTTTCTCTCTGTCTCTTTCTCCCTCCCTTCCTCTTTCTCTAAAATCAATAAAAATATATTCTCGGGTGATGATTTAAAAACAACAACAACTGCCCTAGCTGGTGTGGCTCAGTGGATAGAGTGTCAGCCTGCGGACTAAAGGGTCCCGGTTCGATTGCGGTCAAGGGCACATGCCTGGGTTGTGGGCTCCATCCCCAGTGGGGGGCGTGCAGGAGGCAGCCAGTCAATGAGTCTCTCTCATCATGGATGTTTCTCTCTCTCTCCCTTCCTCTCTGAAATCAATAAAAATACTTTAAAAAACAACAAGAGATAAACCAAAGGCCCTAACCGGTTTGGCTCAGTGGATGGAGCATCGGCCTGCGGACTGCAGGGTCCCAGGTTCGATTCTGGTCAAGGGCATGTACCTGGGTTGCGGGCACATCCCCAGAAGGGAGTGTGCAGAAGGCAGCTGATTGTTTCTCTCTCATCAATGTTTCTAACTCTCTATCACTCTTCCTTCCTTCCTCTCTGTAAAAAAATCAATAAAATATTTAAAAAACAAAAACAAAAAAAAATAATTTAACTTTAAAAAATAACAATAGCCCTAACCGGTTTGGCTCAGTGGATAGAGTGTCAGCCTGCGGACTCAAGGGTCCCAGGTTCGATTCCGGTCAAGGGCATGTACCTTGGTTGCGGGCACATCCCCAGTAGGGAGTGTGCAGGAGGCAGCTGATCGATGTTTCTAACTCTCTATCCCTCTCCCTTCCTCTCTGTAAAAAATCAATAAAATATATTTAAAAAAAATAAAAATAAAAAATAACAATAAAAAAATAAAAAATAACAATAAAAAACCAAGGCACAGAACTGATGGGCTGACACTGTGTTGTGTTTTTACTAGTAAACACATCTCAAGAACAAGTTTTTTCAAACATTCAGGCTGTTTTTAGTCCCTCAATGTAGACGGTGAGATCACAGGTCTGAGCCCAGTGTGTGTCTGTGTCTGTGTGCGTGATAATTCCCACAACCTCTCATGAGCTCCTGCCTGAGAGGAAAGTGTGTGGCTCACACATAGTAGGTGTGCAATGAATGCTCACACTTGTCTGTGGGCAGAGCAATCCCAAGAGCTCATTTTTATTGATCCTGACCCGTGACCTTTGCTGACCTACCTGTCTTATCAAGTCCCGCTGTTCGTAATGATTACCGATTAAGCTGTTAGACGAACGCGAATCTAACCTTGATTCCCTGACCCTGGGGTTAGGGGGCTCCTCTCTCTGGGCAGGCAGAGACGTGTTTGAAATAAAGTTTATTGAAGTTTCTGTTTGGTATTTACATATGATACACGGTAAATAACAGAGCCAGGCCCCCCACCCCCACAGCCCCCCTCCCCCCCCCAGCCTCGTTAAAGGTCCCTCCCCTCCTAAGATGCAACCTAAAAGCCCGTCCTCCCGCTCCCCACCCCACCCCGGGGGCCTTTCTGCTGCGTGTACAACCACTGGTGCTACCTCGCCCCTCCTCCCCTAATAAGGGGGGTTGGACGAAATTTCCTGGGACACCCCCCCCAAATCTGTCCAAGGGGGGAGAGACGGACCCTTGTAAGAGGCCAGAGTTTGGGGTCTGAGATGGGGAGGGGAAGTTCATTGATGGAGGGGGCTGGGGGGGGGGGGTAAGTAGGTACCAGAAAAATGGAAGACTTGGAGGTTTGGGGGGTGTCGACCCCCGCTACTGTCTCTCCCTCCCCCGACGGGGCCTCGAGGGGGCAGAGGCGGGCGCAGGTCTCCATCCTGCGCGGTGTGCAGGGCTGGGGGCGCCCAGGGGTGGACAGGAGGAAGGAGACCGAGTTAGAGGAGGAAGGAAGATAAGCGAAGGGCAGCAGAGAAAGCGGGATCACTAGTTAGACGGCGCCCACAGAGAGGCAGGGGGCCCCCAGGAGGCCGCGAGGAAGGGGGCCTCCCCGGGGAGCAGAGAAATGTGGGGGAGACGGGAGGAACCCGACCCACCGCCTCCAGACCCCGCTCACCCCGCGTGTGGGCGGAGCTAAGAGGCCCCTCCCTGCACACCAGGACCCCCCAAGATCCGGGGGGAGGGGGTGAGACGGGGCCAGGAGACAGACAACGAGGGGCAGCAGGGAGAAGAGGATGGTTGGCATTCCTGGCGGCTGCCGGACCCCATCTCCAGCCCAGCGCCCCTTTGTGAAGGCGGCAGGTGCGGGCGCAGGGCAGGTGGGCACCTGCGTGGTGCAACCCAGGAGGATGGACTAGGCTGGGAAGGCGGGGCCAACAGAGGGGCGTGGCTTCTGGGAAAGGGGGCGGGTCATAGAGGGGGCGGGGTCATTTGAAGTGACGGGTCCAATGGCGTGGAACGGCCAGGAAAGGGGGAGGGGCTACTGGAAAGGAGGAGGCGGGGCCATGGTGATGGGCGTGGTCATTGGGGAGGGGGAGGGACCATTTGAAGTGACGGGCCCAACGGCGTGGAACGGCCAGGAAAGGGGGAGGGGCTACTGGAAAGGAGAGGGCGGGGCTATGGTGATGGGCGTGGTCACTGGTGAGGGGGCGGGGCCACAGCGAGAGCAGCCTCCTCCCGGGGGCAGCGGAGTCCCAGGAGCCCGGGAGCTGCGCCGCGGGGAGGCCTCCGGGGCGGCGGAGGAGGGGGCTCCGCGGAGCGGCGCTCAGCAGGGCGAGGTGGAGATGTGCAGGTGGTCCGGGTACTTGATGGCGGGAGGGTAGTTCTGCGTCATCTGGATGGACACGTCGCTGGAGATGTCGGAGGGGCTGCGGCCGCGGCGCCAGGACTCGGGCTGCAGGAACTGGCCCGAGTAGTCGGAGCAGTCGCTGAGGCGCGGGCGGTAGAAGGCGGGGTGCGGGCGGTACATCTCCTCCTCCGCGTAGCGCTTGGTGAACAAGTACACGGACATCACGCCAGCCCCCTGCGGCGAGGCGGGGTCAGTCCCAGCGGCCGGCCCAGGCTCAGACCCCCAGGACCCAAGATGCCAGGACCCCAGCCCCTCCTCCCCCAGGACCCCGGGAGTCTGGGTCCCCACCCTTCTCCTCCCCCCACAGGACCCAGGAGCCCAGCCCCCCAGCCCCTCCTCCCTCAGACCCAGGGGTCCAGAACCCAGCCCCTCCTCCCTCAGACCCAGGGGTCCAGGCCCCCAGACCCTCCTCCCTCAGACCCAGGGGTCCAGGCCCCCAGACCCTCCTCCCTCAGACCCAGGGGTCCAGGCCCCCAGACCCTCCTCCCTCAGACCCAGGAGTCCAGGCCCCCAGCCCCTCCTCCCTCAGACCCAGGGGTCCAGGCCCCCAGCCCCTCCTCCCTCAGACCCTGGAGCCCAGGCCCCCAGCCCCTCCTCCCTCAGACCCAGGAGTCCAGGCCCCCAGCCCCCCCTCCCTCAGACCCAGGAGTCCAGGCCCCCCAGCCTCCTCCCTCAGACCCAGGAATCAGGCCCCCAAGAGCCCTCCCCATTCAGAACTCTCCTGAGGGCCCTGAGACATCACCTCTTTGAGCAGGAAGGAGGAAGCGGCGAAGGCAAAAGACCACCCGTAGCGATAGTGGAAGTACTGCTCCGAGCTGCTGGGCCTGTTCATGACCTCGTCGTTGATGCTGGAGATGTACAGGACCAAGCCCACCACCAAGGACAGGCCTGGGGAGCAAAGGGGTGCCCTTGGTCCACCAGCAGTGGACCCCTTCCCCCAGCCGGGCCCTCCCCCTCCCACCACAGCTCTCTCCCTCGCCTCCCTACTCTGGCTTGGTCTAATGTCTATCTTTCTTTTTTTAAAATATTTATTATTGTTTTCAGAGAGGAAGGGAGAGGGAGAGAGAGATAGAAACATCAATGATGACAGAGAATCATTGATCGGCTGCCTCCTGCACGCCACCCACTGGGTATGGAGCCCGCAACCCGGGCATGTGCCCTTGACTGGAATCGAACCCAGGACCCTTGAGTCCACAGGTCGATGTTCTATCCACTAAGCAAAACCAGCCAGGGCTAATGTCTATCTTTTTAAGCCCCTTGTGTGCTGGGCCTTGGCTGGGGGCAGGGATGTGGGAGATGAGTCCTCCTTCTTCCTCACCCGAAACTTGTGTCCAGGAGCTCACAATGTAATTGGGGAAGGCAGATATGGCCGTGGGTCAACAGGCAGGGTCAGGGTCAGGGTCAGGGTCAGGGGGAACCAAGGACAGCTTCCTGGAGGAATGGTTCTTGTTCAGGTCCTACAGCATGAGGCCCAGGGAAGAATTAGAGTCTCCATTATACCGCTCTGGGCGGAGGGACCAGCAGGGCAAAGGCTGAGCATGTGACTACAACATGGGGCCACAGCCGCCAAAAATGAGGCCGGACAAGGGGGCAGAGACCCAACCATGATGAGCCTCCCATGCCAGGCTGGGGGGCTCGGCCTTGATGCCCAGGGCACTCGGGAGCCATGGAAAGTCTGGAGCAGAAGGAAGACAGGGCCAGATTGGAGCGCTAGAAGGTCCTTTGGGGGCTGGTTGTTTCTGGGAAGAGATTGGAGGGGAAACTACTGGAGATTTATATTCCAGGGGGAGGAGGAGGAGGCCTGCGCTGAGGCTGTATGGATAATAGCAGCAACAATATCAATAATCTTATATAATAAAAGCCTAATGTGCTAAGTGTCCAGTCGTCTGGTTGGCCGTTCAACCAATCAAAGTGCAAATGATATGCTAAGGCCGCTCAACTGCTCACTAAGACATGCCCAGGGGGCAGACAGTCGACAGACGCTCCAACTGGTTGGTTAGCTTGCTGCTGGGGTCCGGCCATTCAGGACTGAACGAGATGGGCTTAGAATATGCCCCTGGGTGCCC